CTGCCCAATGTGGAGGCCTATAGAGGAGAGAAGCACGGGAGTGCCCAGGCCAACAGACAGACAGAAACTCAGGGTCTCGTTCCAAACTGAACCCTGAAGGCTGAGAGTGAACTTGAGGGCCAGTCCTCCCCTAGTCGAGCCTCAGTTGAGGCCACAGCCCCAACCTGTTCAACTCACTGAGGCAGAGGCACCCAGCTAAAATGTGCCGGTTTGCTGATCCACACAAATTGTGAGACAGTCAACATTTGTAGTTTTGAAATGGAAGGTTAGGGACAATGAAGTCAGAGAGGGAAAGGTAACTGACACAGCCTACTAGGCCCTGGCCCTACCTTCCACCCCAATTTCTGGTCTCTCCTCCCAGCCTCCCTCCAGCTGCACTGGCCACCTTTCTAAACTCCTCTGGCCAAACTCACTTCTGCCTGTGAGACTCAGGACCAGTGGTGCCATCTCCCTGACACTGCTCCCAGAGTCGTGCAGGTCTGGCTCCCTCTTGTCATTCTGGTCCCAGCAAATGTCACCCCAGTGAGGCCTTTCAGACCCTACTACACAGTGACACCCAGCCCTCCCTCACAGCATCCTATTGTGTTTCTCTACAGCACTTGCTCTTTTCTTGCTCATGTCTTTGCTTTTGTCCATTTCCCCTCTAGACTGTGAGCTCCTGGCAGGCAGGGACCACTTGGTCATTTTCATCCTGCACTTCGGCCCACCAGGGCACCTGGCACAGGGTGAGTGCTGAGTGCACAGCTGCTGAATGGTACATGGGAAGATCTTGCACCCCTACCCCTGCTTCTGACCAACTTTGATTGTGGAGATGAACACCAGTAATAGGAGGTACAAGTTGTTTCTGAGGCAGGGGGACAGCCAGAACGACCTCTGGTTGACTCTTCACTGCTCCAGGAGTCAAGTAAAGTTCAGTGGACACCATGTAAATTCCAGGTTACAGCAGCAGGACTCGATGTATATATATATTATGTAATATGTATGTAATATGTAATATATGTTATGTAATAGCCATATACATACATAACATAACATTGTAATTGTTACCAAAATAAATTTACTTAACATCAATCACCAAACAAAAATAAAAGGTTTTTTCCTGGTGATGAGAAGTTTTAGGATCTACTGTCTTAGCAACTTTCAAATATACCACACAGCAATGTTAACTTGCAGAGTGCTGTATATCAAGTATATCTCAATAAAATTGAAAAAACATAAAAACAAAAACTCACTGGCCACCACTAACACAAGTGGCTGCTCGTCCCCTGGTGGCCAGCACTAGCACTGCAGCCCTCACCAAAATGCCATCAAACAGAAAAGAACCTTTCCTAAGGTGTCCTCAAGACAGAGGCTCCCCAGACTCCTAGGGGTAAAAGAGCAGGACCTGTCCCCTTCGAGGAAGTGGGAGGAATCTCGGGAGCCTACACTTTGCCGCATCTTGCTATTCCCCACCTGGTGTCTTCTTCATTCCTGAGGCATCCAACCTCAACCAGGACAATGATCCTGCCTCCAGATAAGGACCTCTGGACCTCCAGATTAGAATAGGGACTGGTCTCCTCTCTCGTCTCTAGACTTGGTGTCTAGTGCTCTGGCATCTTCTTCCTTATCCCAACTTCTCATCCGCCCAAGCCCCCAAGCCTCCTTAGTTCTAAATGATCTCAAGTGGGCAGAAAGCATTTTCTCAGGGTTTCAGAGCACAGTAGGTCATCAACAGAGAACCTAGTCCAACAGACACGTTGCCAGTGCCTGGAACCCTTGGAATCACCTGCTGGATGCACTCCACATTATACAGGAGGACCCTCACTGAGGTCTTCTCTTCTGTTCCCAATGCCTACCCAAGAGGAGTATGCGCTCATCACAATTCTGGGTGCCCATAGAGGTGGACTGCAGGACTCCAATCCTGTGCTCTCCAAGCTGGGCCAGGGATGGGTCTGGAACAGGTAGAAACTTAGGAACCATAGGGATTCCTCTGCCCATCTCTGGGCCTCTGGGCATGTATCTAGGAGAACGGATGCTATGGCCCCGTGAGAGAGCTGCCTCCAACCTCTCTCCTTCCTGCCTCTTGTCACTTTCCCGGTGTCGGCTCTTTCTTGACTGCACCTCCATGGCCCCCACATGAGAAATCGGTGTGAGTGGGTGTGCCTGTGCACATGCGATGATGAGGAGAGGAATATGACCCCGTATGGACAGGGGTGAGCAGCAACCCCCTAGGATCTTAATACCTCTCATTACCAAAGGAAACCTGAGGGAAGGGGCAGAGCCTTGGTCAAGGAAGCTGGAGCTCTGTCTAGTCTTCGGGACTCTGACGACCTCCTGTGGTCTGGGCCAGTACCTGCCTCTTCCTGGGCCAGTTTCCCAACTGTACAGTGAGGGGTAAGATGTGCAACAGCACAAGCTTGTGCTCGGCCAGGACAAGTCATCAGCCCCATAGATACATTAAGTACACTTTAAGTGTGTTGAAGACATTAATATTGTTGTGCAATCAGTACCATGATCCATCTTCAGAACTCTTCTCATCTTGCAAAACTGAAACTCTATACCCATTCATGAATAACCCCCCATTCCTCCTCCTCCCAGCTCCTGGCAAACACCGTTCTACTTTCTGTCTCTCTGAATCTGGCAATTTCAGGAACCTCATAGAAGGGAAAGCACACAAGGTTGTATTTTTGTGACTGGCTTATTTCATTTAGAGTAATATCCTGAAGGTTCATCCATGGTGTGCCTTATCTTAGAATTTCCTTCCTTTGTTAAGGATGAATAATATGATATTGTATGTATATTCCACATTTTGCATATCCATACATCCCTGCACAGATACCATAACCAGGGCCAAAACCAAGCCCAAAATCAAATGGGGCCCCAAACAGATTTTTATCAACGGTCCCTTGGAGACTACTTTCTTAAGCCACGTTCCATATGCTATTTACTAGGGATCTAGTCTTGGGCCATGAGTTGTTTTTCAGAAACTCCGTTTTTTCTCCTTGAGCAAGTTTCAACTGGTTTGAGCCAGTGAGACCACAAGACGGCTGGCAAGACTCAAACTGTGGCTGCACAAGTGACTGGATGATGACCTGGGAGATCAAGAACTCCCCTGCCGATCATGTTAAGGACACTGCCTTTTGAATGTGGGATGTATTACAGAATATGAAAATCTTCTTGTGCAAAATGCCTAGGACTGCCCCCAACCTTCCCGCACCCACTCTTTTGCCCTTCAAAAGCCCTTTTCAACAGCCCATCGGGGAGAAGGATTTAACCTTTGTCTCCTGTCTCCCTGCTGTTTTCTTCTAAGGGTATTATAGTTTTAGCTCTTACATTTAGGTCTTTGATCAACTGGGAATTAAGCTTTGTATGTGGTGTTATGTAAGGGTCCAAGTTGATTCTTTTGCATGTAGGTATCCACTTTTTCCAAGACAACTTGTCGAGAAGACTTTTCCTCACTGAATAATCTTGGCACCCTTGTCAAACATCATTTGATCACATGGGTGAGGGTTAATTTCTGGGCTCTCAATTCTGTTTCCATTGGTCAATATGGCTGTCTTTATGCCATTTCAATGTTGTTTTGGTACTGTAGATTTGCAGTAAGTTTTCAACCAGGAAGAATCAGTCCTCCAACTCAGTATCTCCTTTCAAGATTATTTTTGGTATCTGGGCTTACTTGAGATACCATAAGAATTTTAGGATGGGTTTTTTTCTATTTCAGCACAAAACGTCCTTGGGATTTTGATAAGGACTGCACTGGATTGTTGTCACAATAAGGAGTCTTCCAATCCATGGTGATGGGATGTCTTTCATTTCTAGTAGTCCTGGGTGGCTGTTCAGGTTGAGGGGGCAGCACTCCATGAGATAGTCATGCAGATATCCACAATTCCTCCTCACTGGGCCTTCACCATTTCCTTAGAAGCCATCGACAGTTAACAGAGTGCAAAATGCATGTAAAATGCACGTGGGAAATTTTCAAAGACTGGGTGTGCATGGAGCACACATTTCTTCCACTCCTCTCCATTAGCAAAAACTACAGACTGAACCAGCAGACCCTAATACATGGGGACTACAGACTCAACCAGCAGACCCCAACAAATAGGGACTGTTGACTAAGCAAGGGCCAGGGACTCAGGATCCTGGTAGAATCATCTGCCAGCTCAAGCTGACCCGCTAAGCCTTTGTCTGGCACTGCGGACTAGCCAAGGGCTAATACTGATGTTCTGATAGAGCATCCTGTGAATCTAGACTGACCCATTGACCCTGGACTGGAAAGCCAGTTAGATCGGGAGCTCAACGCAAAGACAGTGGATCTCAGATCCGAGAGGAACTTACCCACGGCCCTCAGAAACAGCAAAAAGGATGGAGAATTCAAAGGTTTTGCGGGCACCAATGCCTCTGTTTCTCATCCTCTAAGCCATCAGATGTCTCCTTTGGATCCCACTGCTGCCACCAAATTGGTACAAAACAAAACAAAAGTGAGCAAATTTTAAACATATTGTTGGCTTTATTCAACAGTTCATGAATCAGGCAGCATCCAGTCTAGCAGAGAGAAAGGAGCTCTAAGAATCTGTACAAAATGAAAGACTTTTATAGGCAGAAGGGAGCAGGAACAAGGAAGTTACACTAGACAAAAAAGATGGTTAGTTACTGCAAGGTTATCTTCCTTTAGGGGATGGCAGGGCTCCATCAGGAAGATGACCTACTTGCTGCTCATCAGGCGATTCCCCATTGACTGGTTTAAGATTCTGTTCCTGGGAGGACCAAAAGTCTAATTAAGTCTCGGCTTGTTGACGTGGGGCATAGCCTAAGCGGCTCCATTTGGGCCTGGTGTCTTGTTTTAAACACATGCCTTCTGCTGGTCTCTGATTTCCCCAGTTCACCCTGGCTGTCCCTTCACTGACCATTGTTGGTCACACACCCACTGCACGTGGCTCCAGTCCTTCCCTTTCAACACCGTAATCTCACACACAGCTCCTCCCGACACTATCATGACGTCTCCCACCACACGTCCCCTATACCTTCCACACTGCCAGCAAGATGCTTCAGAAACACCACCACCATTTATGTCCAATGGGCTGAGAGGGCTGCGCATACACTGGGAAACAGGAGTCGCAGGCTCTGTCACTTGGCCTCCAATCACCTATTGTACCCCAGCTGAAGGGCTCACCCTGCGGATAGACTCAGTTGTAGCCAACTCCATCGAACAACACCATCTTTGCCTCAGGCTTCCTTCAAAATGCTCTCCCCACTTTCTGCCCCAACTGCTCCCTGAGGGATCATTTTGGGGTAGCCTTCGAGGCCACCTTGGTGATTTTGTGCCCAGGCCCAAACAGCTCTTGGCCCACAAACACTTTAACCATACCCCCTGAAATCATATAGCACCGGTAACCAGTGAATGGGTGCAAATTACTAATTTTACCTCCAAGACTCCTAATGAATATTTTACACCAGGAGCATCCACTTTTGGGTTTTACTGTGAGCTGATATCACAAGGCCCTCACCCAGTGAGCTTCTCTCTTCCCCAGCCCTCTGAGCAGCTTTATCCAGACTATATTTTGCAATGCATCATTGTCTCTCTTTCAGCCTGCTTCCCTCAGGTCGCAGGTCCTCTGAGTTTCCTGCCCTGACTGGCTACCACCAACCCATAGAGACACTGTCAGTCCTATAGCACTGAGTGTTCAGTTCTACTAGGATTGACTAACTGGACTGGGCACAGGTGCATTGGCCCTACCCACACATAATCAGCAAACTGAGGCAACCAAGAAGTATCGACAACCTTAACACAAACAACATGGACAACAACTCCGTAGGAACCTATCCTAGCCCTTGTACAACAGTCTCATGAGTCTCTTGCCTAAATGGTTTTAGAAAATGGCCTGGCCCTAGACTGTCTATACCGGCCAAGGAAGGAAGGCTTTGTGCCTTTCCTAGAAGCACTTGCTTAATGTACATCAACACACAAGTTCAAACCTACCTCCACCAGATGGCCCAAGAGGTTAAAATATTGCAAAACATTACCCAAATCTTTGAACAGATACCCAGGGCCCCTGAGGTCACTGATCTATTTTCATGGCTGGTATCTCCAAGTTGGGAACAATGGCAATGGACTGGATTTTAGACTGTTGCTTGTATAATTATAGGATTTGTTACTGTAGCCCTCATCAGATGTTTACTCTCTTGGCTACAACCTGCCCTACCCCTAATAACTTCATTAATTACCCTTATTAAATATCCCAACAATCTTAAAATTAACCAATACTCTGATTAATTTAAAAAATTCAAAATTTTTATGGGAGAAAATCTGCTTAACGTAGAATACTCCGTTGTAAGCATTTTAAAGTATACAGTTCAGTGGCTTTTAGTACAA